ATTTCTTGGCACTAAATAAAGGGCTTTTAACTAGAAATTGCGAGATACAGTGATGTGAGAAAGTCAACAAAGAAAAATCCTTAATTCATTAAAAGCGTGCGATCAACCTTCATCAAAATCATTAATTGATTTTAACTATATATTTTATGGGATTTGATACTTTTATTTATCTTTTAACTACACATTTCATTAACTTTTATTAACATTTACTAAAAAATAGATTTTTAGCTAAATAAAGAGGGGCGTACTCACAATGCATGAGTCTATTCTTTTTCTTCTCCTCCTTTTTTCTCAACAGGATGATGCTATCCAGGAAGCCGCTCAGGAAATGAGCACTTATTTTCTTGGTATTTGGCAAGAAGTTGTATTATAATATATTTTATGGGATTTGATACTTTTATTTATCTTTTTACTACACATTTCATTAACTTTTATTAACATTTACTAAAAAATAGATTTTTAGCTAAATAAGGAGGGGCGTACTCACAATGCATGAGTCTATTCTTTTTCTTCTCCTCCTTTTTTCTCAACAGGATGATGCTATCCAGGAAGCCGCTCAGGAAATGAGCATTTATTTTCTTTGTATTTGGCAAGAAGTTGTATTATATATATAGTGCACAGCACGTGCCTTCGACGAGATTTTTCCAATACTACTAATTTTTTTAATATAAAATTTCAGTATTACTACTAAAACTAGAAAGAATTCGGTTTAAATGTAAAAAATTTCATAACTCAATTATAGATAATAGAATCATCAAAGATTTCTGATGAACTTCATCTTCTTTCTCAGACATGCCTATTGTTATCGTAGTTTTGTTGCACTTACACCATGGTTGACAACTTTGTTTATACTATTTAACATGGTACACAATTTTAACAACACATATTCAAATCAATAACCTCGATTTTGACATCTCAAAGGGTGTCAAACTATCTTAATTCTTGTCGTTCATTCCCCTACGAAGTACAGAATTTTATGCATTAAATAATTCATATAGCTCTCTGTTGAGCTGTAGAAATTAGTGTTGAATCGTTTACTCGTTCTTTTCTGAGAATACATATTTGGCTCATTTTAACAAAAGGGGGAGAAAAAAAAAGCTATATGAATTATTTAATGCATAAAATTCTGTACTTCTAATTAGGTGAGAATTACTTCTAATTTCAACAACATGAGGAACTTTCTGTATCATGTACTAAAGATAATTTACAGTACAGTAGACATCATGTGGATGCCAAACAAAGCGCAATTAACTCGACCAGCTCAGGCTTTTATATATGAGATTAAAAATAAAAATAAAAAATCGAGACTAAAAGGGGGAACTTTAAAAGATATAGATATTACTAAAAATAAATCTCCATACGATTTAGTTTCAACTATTGTTAATATATATACAAGAGAAAATCTGTCAGAATCATGGCAATAGCAGTCTTGTGGCTGAACTCTGAATGCTATGTAAAGCTTGCATTCAAGCTACTTCTCCTCTCGTGCTATCGGTCACAGTACCCCTCGTTTCAGCATCCTTCTCCATATCCTCACCTCCGGTAAAATGTTGCAGAACAAAATTTAGACAATATTTCATATGGGACTTGCTCTTGATACCTGCATTCATGTAAAACACTAATCAGCTGATAAACCGGGAAGCCCACAATGCGGATACATGAATGGCATGTTTGGTACAAAGGAATGGATACCGGATATTAAGAAAAAAAGAACTAAAATCTTGTTCATCATCCCGTCTAGCAGTTTCTCACTGAGTCAATGCAATATATTACTGTAACTGAAATATAGTTTCATCACGGTGAATCTCAATCAACAATTTTCTGGTATATAAGTATACTTTTAAATCAATTTAGTTTGAGTGTTCCTTTGTTCCTTGGTTTGAGTGTTCCTTTTTTCCACAAAGATATGCAAAACTATGAAGCAATCATTGATATTGCAGGAAAGCCATAAAACCAATTTATGCAAGAGTGAACATTAGAGGATAACCTGGTTTGACATGCTTGTTGCAGCAGTCCAGCGCTGCGGATGTACTGTCACTGAATCGTCTCTGATGAAAGTAATTGTTCTTGATTCTTGCTCTTGATTAGTTATAAGCGGAGGTGGGAGCTCTCTCATTACCCATAGTACGAAGGCTGACGGCACTGATGAACCTAGAAAAGGTTGTAATTGAATACACATTAATTAAAGAGAAAAATCTCAATAATAACTAAAGTCAATTTCATAACATGTACGAGAATCTCTAAAGCAGATAAAAGTTCTTGACTAATTACCCTCTCTAAAGGGGAAACAATTTTCAACATTTTGTTCTAAATTCATTCTTATGAGAAAGCATATGAATACCATTTTCATGGATCACATGATTCAAATTTATACCCAAATATTCATAATTATAATCAAGACTTCCAGATATCTATATCAACTTGCAATTTGAAGGGGAGGTTCCGCATATCATATGAACTAGGTTGTTTAATCACAGTGACAAGTCTATTTTACAAATTTTTACGTCAAGAATAGCGAAACGAAACATGAGAATGTCAACAATCCAGACTCCTGAAGTTTGACTGCATGGCCTTTGCAATTCAATGATTCAGAAGGCCATTACAAAAAACTACCTACTCCCTATCTCCAACTTTCTTGGTTCAACATCATCCCCAAAAAAAAAAAAAAAAAAAACTAAAACATAAAGGTGAACCAAACAACCTACCTTAACATTGCTGGTTGAATCACAATCACGATGATAATAGACACTCAGGTATTATTTTCATTCGAAATGGTTAGGAAGATAATAATACCATCTAGAATAGCATACTAAATACGCAAAAAAATGACACGGTTCAAGAATTCCAGTTTAAATCATTGTATGATGTTAAAACAAATACCTATGAAATAATATAGAACCAGTAGAAAAGAGGTATAAACACCGTCTATCTCTTCTTGATGCCAATGATAAATCAGCTGTAATATTGATAATCTTTTGATTAGAAATTCCTTCCGTTGAAAACAGGTATGGTAGACAGCTTGCTACAGAATCACCGAGAAACTTACAGGTATATTTGTAGATATAGTAACAAGAGCACTTGATGTGAAACATACAACAGATACAATGGCCAAACCTGCGACCTATACAGATCAAAATATGTTATAGAAAAACAATTAATGTAGCACAGTACCAATACCACTATCGCGGCAGATTATCTGCAACCTATAAACAGCAAACTGTATTAATAAAAACCAATTGTTATGACCATAAGCAAATGAAGAAATAGTTCCGCACTCGTTACCAAAAGAAGAATATAAAAGAAAAAGAAATGAATATTTCCAGACTAACTGAAATTTATTCACATATCATGACCATACACAACAGATTGAACACGTATAGGACAAATATGAATGGAATTCACTCACAAGAAATCTATACTGCATAAAATGTACTCTGATAGGCATTAAGCTAACTATTAGTTTATATTTTCAATTATTTCCTCTCACTAAACGTAATGTAAAGCATCTTATTTTTCTAGAGAAAGTAAAATTTCCTGGAGTACGATTGAGTAACTCACCTTCCACATTTCTGATGAGGCACGCTCAGATCTCACTTTTCTCATTTTCAAGAACAATATAAGCCCTGTAAAACAAAAGAGAAGCATTATTAGAAACAAACTTAAGATAATCCTAGAGGAACTCCTATGCAAGTTTAAATAATAAATATATTGGTGTGTGCAATTATGGTCAAGAAATGAGCAGTGCCTTCCCAAAATAATTTCAATCCAGAGGTCCTCCAGTCATACTTTCTTTAGGTTCCGGTGCAATGAAATTATGTAGCAGCATGAGATTCAGATATTCGTCTGGGTAGACAAAATTAATCAAAAAGGAAATCATGTCCAACTGAAAGAATCTTTACATCACTTAAACTTAAGTTCTCTCAACTATCATGTCTGAAATTCCAGAAGTTAGTCATGCAGCAGTTCCCTCAATCGAGCATAGCTAACAACTAGAATTTCATTTGACTCTCCTCTCTACTCTGGTTTTATATATAATCATTTTAAGAATAATATAGTAAATTTTTTATTCTAACCCCTAATCAGAGTGATTACAAGCTATGAGGAAAAAAAATTTTAAAATTGGATTATAAGAACGGAGATAAAGATAAGAAAGAACAAGTACTTCAGACAATTCTCACTTTGATGGGCTGTATAATCTGGTACCCTTGACATGTATTGATGCTTTCTTAAGCATATTCTTAATTTTTCTCTTACTTGATTGATGTCATTGATTGACAGAAATGCCTGCCAAAATGTACTTTTTACCAAAATGTTATAAGGAACAATGCATAATGTGCATTGGCTACAAACTCGTTGGCTTCGGCCTTCGGATTCATTATTTTCCGGAACATCACTTCCAGAATCTTTTTTCCAGTTTTTATACGTGTCATTTTATTATAAGCAAAATGGTTTTAGAATTGATCACGACCGGCTGGTCATTCTCAGATGAATCATATTCACGACAGATACACGTTTAAGATTCATTAAAAATTACCTTCATAAAAAAAAAGAGTTCCTGCCCATATAAATATATACCGTCAATCCACTTCTCTCAACCTAAACCATGAGACTAATCTAAATGGATTTCCGAAGCTAAAATTTCAGAAAATAGGAGTATAAAGAGTAGATAAAAAAAAATTAACATACTGAAAAAGGAAAAAAAAATGGTTAATATCATAAGTGCTCACCATAGCATGCCAAGGCTCCTCCCAGGAAAAGAACTGCAATGGCAAAAAGATCTACGTATACCTGCAAGATTATTGCAAATTGCACCTTCATCAACCCTGACCACACACAGACACACACACACACACAAACACAGAGAGAATAAGGTAATACATTTTCATATGAGAATTACTGGTTAAAAGAATTTTAGCATCACTTGAACAGCTTGCCATTTAAAGGCATTTGTCTACAGTTCAGTAACAACATACGGACCAAATAAGAACAAAATGAATTGCTTTGAACATCTCACATCATGTGAACAGAAAGATCCAACTTCTAAGACAATGAGCCAATTAAATTAACAGGGCAAATTTTGGCTATGAACAGAAATAATTAACCATTGCTAGGTCAAATCTTATTAGAAACCCATCAGTAAGGAAATTTATCAGTTATTCATAACCCAATAGAAGTCTCTGTTTTTAAATTTTAATCAGCTAGAGAGCGAACTTTAGTTCTTTCTATTTCGTCTTCTGAAATTCTAAATCTTGAAGGGAGAGGGAGGGAGCATACTGATAACTGAATTACTCAACTGGTCATATGATTTATTTTATACCACAGTAAATGCATACAAAACAGTATTCAATAGTAACACCAAAAGGGGATTTTACTCATGAGAAATTACAAAATAAAGATGACGTATCTTAGATTCCATAAAGTTGTACCATAACTGTATATCAATGTCATACTGCAAGACCAAAGAGTAGTTCAATTACAAAGATGCCTGTGTAGCCGGTCTTAATATGTTACAGCACAACCTGTGATAACATGGCAGGTATATTTTCCCATAATAGAAACCATTAACTATAAGACCATTCAAAAATTTTACAAAATTCTATATATGTGTTAGCTTACAATGTCACAATTACGATTGAGAAGCCACGTCATAGCATTTGTTTGAAAACATAGGATAATAAAAAGAAACCAAAGGCACATGTGTACATGCCTGAGCAATGACTTCAGAATCAATCTTATTCCGTCCCATGCCAATCCAGATTAGCACAGCACATGCTATCATTATTGCAAAAAATATCACAGTAACCTGGAAAAATTCATTATTAGATAAACTAAAATATGGATGAGAACACAAAACTATAGTGTTTCCAAGGAACTGAAAATGAATGTATACAAAAGTTTTACTACTTCAATACCAAAATCACAATTTTTTGCCTGCTTCCGGTACGGATTGCCCGAAAGGAGAAACATCTTCTGCAACCATTGGTATTAGAATCAGCTCTCCTCTTCTCCAGCAGGGATTCTCCGGGACTATATCCTTCATCCTCATCATCATCATCATTTGACTGATGGCAAAGGTCAACCCTACAAACCATTCCCGTTGAAGGTTATCTTTTAGTTTCAGAAATCATTAACTTTATCACAATTTAGCATTAAATGAGTATTGAATATTGAATTAACTCTTTAGAGGTATCAGGTATGCGTCCATAAAATGACAGTTCCACTGTCACATGATCAGGCAGAAGAGTATAACCCAGCACAACTTGGCATTTTTTAGTATATATCAAAGACCAACGATATTCTAGACATCCAGAGTTGGTTAAGAAAGTAAACAACATAATTTCAAACTTTTCCATCATAAATAAATGAATTCAAGCATAGAAACCAACTTCTGAAAAACTCGGGTTCTTTACAAAATCTAAATTTAGAGCAGAAAATAAAGTTGCAAAAAATAATTTTATATGGAAAACTATCTACTTTACTAGATTGTTCAAATATATGGTCCAAAGGTAATTTTCAATAAAAGAACAGTGCCAGTTCGAGCGAATGATTACTGGACACCTAACACTGTATATAATGATTGCAATAAGTTAACGTCAATAAAATCAGTCCTTCGTCATACTAAATTGGATATAAAAAAAAAGTTGTATTTGACATTAACTTTGTCTTATATACTATATTATATTCTTAACAGCAACTATGTTGTAATGAACATCACAATCATATTATGGGTGTGTTTGATCCACATTATTTTGGAATAATGTATTTTGGAATAGTAGATTGATAGAAAATGTGTGATTGAAAAATTAGGAAAAATTATTTATGTGATGGAAAATATTATTTTATTGAAGATGTGTGGTTGAAAATGAGTAGAAAAATGAGAACTATATTATATTCTTAACAGCAACTATGTTGTAATGAACATCACAATCATATTATGGGTGTGTTTGATCCACATTATTTTGGAATAATGTATTCTGAAATAGTAGATTGATGGAGAATTTGTGGTTGAAAAAAAAGGAAAAATTATTGATGTGATGAAAAATATTATTTTATTGAAGAATGTGTGGTTAAAAATGAGTAGAAGAATGAGAATGAAAATTTTAATGTGTACCAAACAGGGGCTATATTAATATTTAATTTGTATCATCTGTTTATTCAAACAGAAGCAAAATGCTGATGGGTAACAACAGATTCGACATTACAGACACGACATTACAGACACAAATTTTTATCATCCGGTAAAATTAAATCCACAATACTGTGTATTAAAACACATGTTGAAAAGAAAGCATTTAATTTTTTTTTTTATCACCATGGATGTCTGGGTCAGCTTGCGCGCATCTCGACTAATCCCACGGGAAAAGCATTCAAATTCTCGAGTAACAAAAAGAGTAACAACTTACCAGAATGACAAGAGTAGAAGAAATGCTGCAACGAACAGAATTTTGGGGAAAGCTGCAAATATAATATATTCTAGTTTAAGCAACCTTTAAATTGTCAATCGAAAGATTTATAACCACTCAAGAAGGTCGAGGACTAGAACTTGTCTACCCATGACAATGAAACCACAGGAGTTTGACCAGCAAAGCCAACCCTTGCAAGCAGCAAGAAGACTTAACACAAAATAAAAGAAATACCCTGCCAGTGAGAAATTATATTTCATTAGACTTCATGCGACGCAAATAAGGACTTCAACTATCTTCCAAGACATATAATTGAGATCATTGGCAACAAACAACTTCAAGACAAAATGTGATGCAACTTTTCTAGGTGTAGGAGAAATAAAATCAATTAGGTAAGCACCTAGGGTGTGACAACGCTTATGAGTTTGTGCATAACAACATGCCTATTCGTCTTCTTCCAACCACGCCCTTAAACCCTGCGAAAACCAACGCCCATCTCAAAATCCACGGATGTTGTAGATACTCGGATTAACTTTTGTCCCTTAAGGACTTTGAGCTTGAGGGTCATGACAATGGGCTTTACTAAATAAACAAATTTAGGCTTTACTATGTTTTGCTCGTCATAGCCTTAGCTTTTGTACGGTCCATATTTTACTTACCTCTATGAAAGATGGCTTTTGGCGCATGTTTGTCGATAGTCCCGTCATCAACAAAATCACTATTATGTATCGTTTTCATATTCTGCGTCTTAAGGATATATTAGATGAGCTGACAGGATCTTTGTAGTTTTTGAAGATTAATTTACGAAGTGGTTATAATCAAATTATGATTAAATAAGAGGATAGAATGAAAGATAACATTTAAGATTCAGGATGGTTTGTACGAATGGTTAATTATGCCTTTTGAAATGTCCAATGAGTCGAGGGGTGGACAAAATGTCCAGACGAGACCAAACCAAAATCAAACCAAACCAAACGGTTCGGTTCTACGAAATTTTTTTGAATAATTTCTCTTTCACTTCTTTTCAATTTACACAACTCCGCGGCATGTCGGCACTGAGTTTTATAACGTCAGTGGAGGAGACTCTTTCAAGATCGGAAAATAGAATTGCTCAGTCACTTAAAAAGCCTTCAAACAATTTTTTCACCTAAATTAATTTGATGAATTATTTGTTCTTCATAGATAGAAGAAAATCCAATAAACATTCATGGAGTATTAAACGGTTAATGGTTGTCTATAAAAGTGGACTGTAAAATTTTTGCATAATCCATTCTTTATCATGAGGGTGTGCCGTATGAGCTATTGTTATTACTTATTAGATAATCTTTTGTATGTGAATGATAATTGATTGTGCATTCAAATTGTGACTATACTTTGTTAGTTTGGACTTCCGTGATCTTGATGATTAATAATTTGAACTTATTGAATGTTTAATTTTTTTTTTTTTTTATTTAGGTATATATATTACTGACTTACAGAAATAGTTTAAGTCTGAAAAATTTAAGAAATGAAACTAGAACCAAACCAAACCAAATGGTTCGGTTCTAATTTGAGTTTGGCTCCATATCTTAAAAAAACCATTTGAGTCCATTATCAAAAAAACTATTGGTTCATAGTTCGATACTTTTGGAACCAAAACCAAATGGAACCATGTCTACCCTTAAATGCGCCTAGTACTTTTATGTGGATCATGAACTATATCGTGCAACCTTTTATTGGGAAATTTCTTGTGCATTTTGCTCACATTTTGATTTATAGTCAATTGCACACTTGGATCACCTTCGACAAGTCTTCCTTGCTATTTGTTCCATGAAATGTATGCTAACCTTAAAAAATGTTCATTTCTATAATTACAAGTACTCTTCTTTGGGTTCATCATTTTCGCCCGTGATATTTTTGTTGATCCAGCTAAAATCTCTATTATTCATGATTGGCCCGAACCTACAATGTAGACCGAAGCCCGTAGCTTTCTTGAGTTAGCTTCCTTCTATAGGAGATTCATTCAAGGATTTAGTTATCTCACCGTCCCCATCATCGAGTGTGAAAAAAAGAATTTTATGTTGGAACCCTTTCGGGCTAAAAAGCCTTCTTCTCTGTTAAGCAAAAGTTGATTGAGACTCTCATTTTATGCCACCCTAATCTTTCTACATTTTTAGTTTGCCTGTGATGCTTCTTGTGTCAGTATAGGTGGTGGCTTAAGTCAAGATGGTCACCACGTTGCTTGCTTTAGTAAGAAAATAAATCATACTGGCAAAAGTATTCCACTTATGACAGAGTTCTACATTATTGTCCATCGTTCATGATATTATTTATTGTCGGAAGAGTTTGTTCAGCCCATCGCGTTCTTTGTTACCTTAATTCCTAGGGTAATTCAAGAGAACGACTGTTAAGTGGATTGAGTTTCTTCAAGAGTACACTTTTGTTCTTCACCACCAATCTAGGTTCGAAAACTAAGCGACTTATACTCTTAGTCATATCACTACGGTGATTCATTTTATGAACACTATTGCGGTGGGATTTAACTGATTAAAGGACAATTATCCTAGTTGTCCCAACTTTGGCATCATCTTTAAAGAACTCTTAGTTACTCCATCATATGACCATTTTACTTTCTTGTTTAAAGATTGTTATCTTTTCAAAGGAACCAAATTGTGTATCCCTGATACCTCATTTTGTGACTTTCTTGTCTTGAACTACATGCAGGGGGTCTAGCTGGTCATTTTGTTCAAAATAATATTGTCACCTTAGTCGACGATCGAATATTGGCCTTCCCTTAAGAAAAATGTTGCTCACATAATTTCTCAGTGTTGCACATGTCATTTGGGAAAGGTACAATGTCAAAACTCTAAGATGTATACTCCTCTCTATGTTCCTCTCTCTCTATACTATAACCTTAGCATGGATTTCGTTCTCGGGTTACGTAAAATTCCTAGAGGTCATGATTCCATTTTTGTGGTTGTGAATACTTTCTCTAAGATGGCACATTTCACTCTATCCCAAGTCTACTGAAGAGTGTCATGTCACTAAGTTGCTCTTTAAAGAAGTTCACCTCCATGTCTCCCGATCACTATAGTATCTGATCATGATATTAAGTTTGTTAGTTAATTTTGAAAAACACTGTGAAAATTATTTGGGATGACATTTAAGTTTTCATCCACATTTTACCCCCGATCAATGGTCAAACTGAAGTGGTGAACAATAGTCTAGGTAACCTACCTCATTGCTTAGTTGGGGTCGAATCGGGTAATTAGGATCTTGTGTTGCTAACTGTTGAGTTCGCATAGAATAATTTTGCCAATTGATCTACCGACATAGCCCTTTTGAGGTCGTCTAGAACTCATCCCCAAGTCAACCACTTGATCTTTTTCCTTTGCCCACCGATTTTCATCACATTGCCTCTGCTCAAGGTTTTGTTAATCACATTCGCGACTTGGATTATGAGCAACGTTAAAATTTCTTTTAGCAATGACAATAATAAAATAGCCGTTAATTCACACTGTAGGAATAAAGAGTTTAATGTTGGCAATTATGTAATGATAAGACTGGCACCTGAATATTTTTCAAAACATGCCACTAAAATCTTTGTACTAGATCACTTGAACATTGCCCCATTATTAAACAGCTTGAAACTAATGCTTATCTACTTGATTTGTCAAAGTATTTAAATATAACATATTTATATCCTTATCAAGGCACATTCGAGTCTCCAATTTTTTCGTCTAATATTTCAGCAAGACAGGCTCTTCGGCTGCCTCAGCTCCCGGGCATCTGTGACCACATATTCACTTCAGGATATCGTCTATAAGATGCTCGACAGTCAGACTGCTGCTTCGCAGGATGATGGCTTTCTTGGGGTTCTGGTGTGTTGGAAGGGTCGTCCACTTAACGATGCTACTAGGATTACTGAAGATGCTTTTAATCAGCTGAATGCAAAGTTTTTGGATGCCTATCTGAATTATACATGGTTGGAGTTGAGTTCTTTTCAGTCCGGAAGAAATGATGCAACATGAAACGTATATTCTAGATGTATGAGAAATTAAATCAATTAGGATTTTATAACATTTTTCTTATTTTCTTGTAAGACAACTTATTTGGTTTCCTTTGTTGAGAAACCCTAGATTTCCTTATTAACCCTAAGTTTGACTCTATACAAAGAAACTGTTTACTTGAAAGAGACACAATTTTAATCAATGAATATATTACAAGTCTCCCTCCAAAATCTCTCTTCTTCTCTTCCCTCCCTTTCCTTTCTTCTTTAATTGTTCGTGTTGAATTGCTTAGTTCCTCGTCAGAAGGCTAAATAGATTAAAATAAAACACACATGCATAGGTACAGCTGATGGGAATGTTAACGTAATAAGGGCCAAAAATATGCGCTAATAACTAGAAGTTTAGTGAAGAAACTCAAGCCTGCTTTATTCTAATTTTTTGTAATGTCTAATTAATCCAGGAAAGCATTCTGCCTTGCTTAATGCCTCGTATCCCATAAACCACTAGCTACAGAATTTATTTTATTTTTTCCAAACCCATATTCTTCATGATTATTACTGTAGCATTCAAATTTCCAATCATTTGGTTTTCAAGCATCATTTTGCACTTAATTTAGAGCCACAACAGGTATAAACACATATTATGTAAATTCAGGGCATTCAAATTAATGATTAACAGAGGAACAGTATCGCTTGCGGTAGTCAGGTTATATGTGTCATCTGCCATTTATTGTTAGTATCAATGGCTGCATCAATTGAAAGGTCTGAGAAAACAACATTTCTAAAAATACTAAATTCTCACCCAAATTAGAGGATCCAATCATTAGATGAAACACCTGCAATTTAAGACACGATTTTATCAGATTTACACTGTGATAAAACAAAATAAACAGCCATTTTCAAATCATATATATTTGATCTTAAATCACAATCACCAATAGGTCAGCATCTAAATATGCTCTCGTCTATCTATTAGACTAGCAAAATTGAGAGGTGCATGCAATTCAAACTCAAGAAACCCACAGGGAAAAATCTTCTACCAGAAAATGGAAAACAAACATTCGCAACAAAATAAATGTCCAACACCCTTCTTGGAAAAGAAATCCCGAGTCCAAGACCCATTCTGGACTAGGCTTTTAGTGTCGTCGTGGACTCTAACATTCTAACGAACTTCATCTGAAATGAAAAGGAAATATAGAAAGGCAGAAACTACAGAGTAATGCAAAAAGAACATCAATCACATGAAGGTATTTTCGGAGTATTTTCAATTAAAAACCACAGTCCTAAATTGCATATCTTGTGAATAACAGAATCGTTCCTCAGACATCTAAGAGAATTCATATGAAATTATATGTTTCGCAAGGTAAGTTTGGAATAATCTAATCGTTGAATAGTCATCATGCACCTACACTAAGATGTGTTAGTCTTTTTCTTTTTTCTTGTTTGTGACAAGACTTGAGACAAATACTAGAATATAACAACACGGATAAACATCACAGGATTTCATAACGGTCCATCTTATCCAGTATCTAAAAGAAACCCACTCAAGATAATTTTCTGCAATTTCCAACTTCTGTTGCAAAATATAGTGCACATACTGTTGACAGGCAAACAAAGGGGAATGTGTTGTGTGAATGGAACAACTGCTTACTTTTTGACGCGTCCAGCCAAGATGTGAGTTCCTTGAATGAATCCTCATCAACTGGTACAACACAAAAAAAAAATAACTAAGTCTTGAATCTAATCAAGTGGTATATCTTTAAAAGCAGTAATGAAGGCAGCAACATGCAAACATGTCAAAAGATCAAATGCAGAAGCAAACTAAATTATATCGAAGAATAACATAGAGTGTGATTCCCAAATTGAAATGTCTACAGAGAATTTTTATGGCGGCCTTGGTCGCATTGATTCTTGAACATCAGAAACAAGTTATCGCATTTCATTCCGACATCATTGCTTAATATTCTTACCGCATTGTCATCCATCATGGCCAATTAAACTCTAAGAAATCAGAAGTAAAATCCAATTTTTTCACAAAAAAAAAGAAAGAAAGAAAGTAAGAAAAAATCCAACGTGTTTTATCAAATCTCTTCCCCTCACCAAAACTAAATATTGAATATCTTCACACGATTTCCAGTCCACGAACCCTCTACCCAAAATTAACTATCACCCAAAAAATCCAACGTGTTTTATCATCAAATTAACAATGTATCTCTCAATCTGTATCTCGAAAAGTGAAGAATTGAGAGTAAGAATTACCTGACAGAAAGCAACAGCTGCAATCACCCCATCAACGCAGGCAAGACCAACATTCACTCCCACCAACGCCTTCGGATAGCAACTCCCTCCTCTCAATTCCAACATTTTCCCTTAATCCCTTAACACTATTCACAAAAACACTCACTCTGACTGGTTATGTGTCTGTATTATTATACGAGAAAGCTGAATTTTGTAGTGTCGGTATATATATGTACCATAGTCTGTGTATCGTAAATATATTTGTATCGACCTCGTAGAACACTAAGGAAAGAAAAATGGTGGTACGGAAAGTATCGAAAAGGGTATCTTTTGTTTCGTTAGAATTTCTATGTATCTTCAATTTTTGTTCCAGATCTGCTTGTGGATTCCCCTCATTCCACCACTTTCTTTATACCATGTTTGGCAAAGTCGATAACAAAAAAGTACTACTTTTTTATTTCAAACAAGTTAAAATGAGCAAGTTTTGAAATGTGAATATAGGAAGTGCGACTCAAAAATACTCAAATAGGTGGAAAAAAAATTGTTTGAATTTAAGTCTCGTTTGGCTCTCATTCATTTATGAACATTTTTCTCTCCATTCTTTTTAACCACACATTAAAATAATATTAGACATAAACAAAAAAAAAAAATCTTCTTTTTCAACCACACATTTTCCAAAAAAATACTATTCCAAAAATTATTGATAACCCAAAAATAACTAACCAAGAGGGGGATGAATTAGTTTTTGAAATTTTTTCGACACTTAATCTTAAATCAATACAATACACAAGATATGAATGTAAAGTATAATACTGAAATTAAATATGCAAATTCGATAACTTAATTCAAGTATGGATATGACACAATATAAATGGTAATGTAAAGTAAAGTGCAATAATGTAAAGATAACAAATCAATTTAATGAGGTTCGATACACAATGTGTTCTACGTCCACATTACCAAGCACTCCGTCACGAGTAAGACAAAATGCACTATAATGGTAACTTACAAACAAAGAGTACTGATCCTTAAGTAGCTTACAAGTAGGAGCACTTATCCTTAAGTGGCTTACAACAAAGAGCATATATCCTTAATTGACTTTCAACAAGGAACACTTATCTTTAACAACAATCGAGTTTTCACAAGACTCTCGAAACTACTAAAGTATAAATGATAGGTTTACAAAAGGACAAACTCTCTTAACAAATGATATAATCAAATCAAGTATTTAGAGAGTTATGATAACACTTCAATAGATATCAAATAATAAAACTCAAGTGTTTATGATGCAAACTTTGATGAAGAATTGATAATGAAATAGTTTGTATTTTTGCATCAAAGTTTTCAAACCAATTATCTCTCTTAACAAATAATGCAAGTTAAGTATGAAGAGAGATTTATACTTAAATCAAAGTGTTGGCAAAGAAAACTTCTACCAAGGATGAAGAATAGATGAGTTTGTGAAAAGTTCTTTGCAAGACAGAGTTCTTGATAAATAAGATGAAATATGTTTGATTGAATAAGAAACTCTTTGTAATAAATGAAGTAGAATGTAGAATCAAGTAAACTTAATGATTTTAAACAAAATAAGCTCTCTAAATATTTTTTGTAAGTAGTTGAAAATTGAATGCAAAAGGGGTGGATATTTATAAAGTAAAAGGGACACTCTCAGTCACTTTCGGTTGACCAATTTCGGTTGACCGAAAGTGTATAGCAGTTGAGAAATCAAACCGTTGGAATTTCGGTTGACCAATTTTGCATTTTCGATAGATCGAAGTTTGAATTTTTGGTTGACTGAAAGTTGACTTTTTTTTTTTTAATTGCATTTTCAAAATCTATTTCATATTATGAATGAAAAGCGTTTTTATACAAGTAATGAATTATGAAAATAATTTGACATTTATACAATTGCTAAGAATCGATGAGTTAATACTTTATATTTAAGTTCCAATAAACTACTTCTAAACTTTAATTTTCAAAATTCTTGTTCTTGTTCTCTTCTAGTCTCATTTAATTGTTTGTTCTTCAACGGATGACGATTTGAGTATTTGAATACTTAGAAGATATATTCATAAAAAAAACTCAAGAAACAAAATTTGTTGGAAATATAAGTGTATTGTTTTTTATAATCAAAACAAGTTGAGTTATATTGAATCATAGGTCTACAATTTCTCACTTTTTAATTATGACAAATAATATATGATTTGTAGAAATATACAATATATTCCCTCTATCTTTTACATATCAATAGGAACTAAGTTTGTATCATATATAGCATGATGTTCTAAAAACATGCATTTCCACAATTCATTGACATAGTAACTAACATCTAGAGGTCATCATACTTAATAGAAATAATTGAACTCACAAATTCCATAATGATAGTTGAGGTCACAAATTATAATTGCAAGTCACAATACATAGTTCATAGAAATAACAAGTCACAATTACAATCACATTTCCTTTCTTTTCCCTCTTTTGGCATCATAAAAAAAGAATGGGGACAATGAAACTAGTAAAATTTCCCCTTAAGTAAGGCATAGGTGTAAGTTAGGAAAAACAAGTGAAACTAATCATAGGTCATGACATGAAAAATAAAGCATGAGTTTAAAAAATAAAAATAGAACTTAAAGATAATGTATTAATCTTCCGCCGGTGGAGGAGGCCCGCGAGGATAAATGGAATACATGTGTGCAAAGAAGGCCTCTTGAGATAAACTCATTTGCTCTATTCGTTGATCAAACGCATTAAAGGTAGTAGTAAGAGAATCAATCCGGCCTTGTTGGATGTTGAAATGATCTTCGGTCATATATTGGCCGGGGGTAGGTGCTACTTATGGAGTAGGACCCATATGTTGTGCTCGAGGAGAATCATCACCTTCATCACCATCACCACTCATTTCTTCTTCCATCTCTTCTAAAGTGAATGGCCAAGTAGTAGGCCCCGAGTAATTGTCGAAGCCTTGGGTATGACACACCCATTGCCCATTGCCTTTAACGATGTTCATGTGTTTAAAGGTGTTGAGATTAATGACATCGGTGTGTTTTGGCTTAAAAAAAAGCTCATCGTCTAATGGCACATTGAAATATTGAAAGATTATTGTAAGAAGCATGCCATAAGGTAAGCTTATGGCTCTAGGAGACGTGTGGATCTGTCGAATGTGCTTCAAAAAGAGGTAGGAAAAGTCCAATTAACGACCAACAAGAAAGAAGTCAAGAATGAACAAGTCGAGGAGATAAACCTTTTCAACATCTCCATTCGGAGGGACTATAATATGAGAAATAGCACGATGAAGAGTTTTGCATGGTATAGTAAGGTGATGTAGGTTTAAGGTTATTGTGGTGGATAGTGGTCGATCGGTGACTCAACAACAAGCTTCGAGTTCATCATAGCCCTCAAACCTAATAGGATAACGATGAATATAAGAAAGGTTTTCACATTCTCCTAACCCAAGTATTTCTCTAATGATATTCCTATAGAGTGTAATTCATTTCTCTTTAACAGTGCAAGTGACATGGAGTGAGTAAAATGAGAGATCTCGGTAAAATTCACGAATTAAATTAGGATGGACATTTTCCAAGATAGTAAACACATTTGTCCACCCAATATTCTCAAAATAATCCTCCATCCTAAGTGAAGAAGCTTTGGTAGAGAATTCAAAGAAATCAATTGACTTACTTATTAANATTCAAAGAAATCAATTGACTTACTTATTAGAATGGGACAATCGGCGAAACGGTCGGGAATGATCTTTTCATCTTCAATATTTGACGAACTTGCTTCCCCTTTCTTTGATTTCTTCCTTGGAGGCATGGTTATTTTTGGAATTTTTGATTTTTAGTGAGAGAAATTTTTGATTATTCAAAATTTGTTGAGAAAACTAGTGAGAAATGATGGGAAAAGAGTGTAACAAACTTTTGAAGTTGATTAATGGTTAAAAACAACTTGCAATGAAGTTTTTGAAAAATCAAGATTTTTGAGTGATGAACTCAAAAACCCAAATCCGGAATTTTCTTGATGAAAAATAGAAGAAAAACTAGGGATTGGATGAGAAAAAGTGATAGATTTGGTGAAAATTTGAAAAGATTTTGGTGTAGAAGATGAAAATTATGAGATTTGAAGAGAGAGAAATAGAGAGAGAGAGAGAGAGAGGAGAAAAATCGCACCTTAAGGCTAAAGAATTGGGGATGAAGTTAAAAGAAGAGTTCTTGTGTAAAGACAAAAAAAAAAAAAAAAAAGACCGACTCTGGGAATTTCGGTCGATCAAAATTCCCAGAAATTTCGGTTGATTTTTTTTTTGTCGACCAAAATTCGTAGTGTCGACCGAAAATCTGGAAAAAAAATTCTGAGCCCCTCAGTCTGTTTCAGCAGATCAGGTTCAGTCGACCGATATTATGAAATTGGTCAACCGAAAGATACTGAATGCAATTTTCATTTTAAATACATTTAACCACATTTTTTGGATTCATCGATAATACCTAAACCTCTATGAATGTAAGAAAATCTATCGAAAGCTAGAGGTTTGGTAAGAATTCCAGCTAACTATTTATCGATACTTACAAATTCCAAATAGATAT